AGAATAAACACAAAAAAAAAAGAAAAAAAAAAAAAAAAAAAAAAAAAAGGAAACGCAGACGGGGTGGCTACGAGGCAGACTTGCTAAATTAGCGAAGAAGAATTACAGCCATTGTAAACTAACCGCAGGTATTTCCAAGGGCTTGGACGCGAAGTCGTGTAAATCAAGGGCTTCGTGGGCTGGAAACTGCCTGTGCCCGAGCGGAGAGGGGAGCTGCAGCAGAAGAAGCTGCTGCTGCTCCTCCTCCTCCTCTCCACGCAGCCCGAAGGAGCCTCCTGCCCCGGTCCCAGCTCCACGTTCCGCCTGCACCTGAGGCGGCCCCGGGAAGGGAGCAGAGCTCCTCAAGTCCCCGCGCCCGAGAGCGCTCCCGCCCGCAGCCCCTCACCCACCTCCCCGCCTCCATCCGCGCATCTTCAGTGCGCTCCCAAATCCAGTTCGCCCCTTCACATGCCCGCAAAGGACACCCTGCCTGCGCGACCCACCCGCGGGGGCCCCAGGTGCCTCTTAGCTCTCCTCCACCCTCCTCCCAGTTTCCTAAAAAATATCCTCTCTGGATATTTCCCGAGTGCATTGTTGCACCGACGTCTGGCGTGGCAGAGGGAAACCTCTGAGTGGGATTTAGAGATAATAAACGAGCCCAGAGAAGGATGATAAAACGGGCTGGACTTGCTCAAAGGGAGAAATCCTGTTCTCGTTTAATCAAGCAGAGATACACCTCGGCTTCATGCTTCCTATGAAAGCAGCGTTATTTATTTTATTTATTTGGTTCATTCGTGCCAGAGTCATGGATAATCACTTGCCGTGGCTTCGTGGCCGACTGCAAACGGACGCCGATCTCCGATCGATAAAGTAGAGAAATGCGGAAGGTGGATCCGCTCCTCTAAGGCAGCGGGTTAACGCCGCGTGTGTCCGTGTCCCGGGGCCGAGCCGGGGCGAAGGCAGCATCATTTTGCTACGCTCCATCTCGGTACCGTGCCCTGTTACCCAGCACTAAAAATCAGGTTCCTGAAGTGCTGGCATTTCGTTTTTAGGTACCCTAAATACCCTCCCTCGCTGATATTCTGCTGTTATTTCATCAAAAAGTGCTTGACATAAAGAAAAGCACGATGCGCGGCAATGTTTTCACAATAAGTTGGATTTATACAGTTCACATGAGCAGAATCGTTTCCCAAAGGTTCTTGCTTAGAGCTCTTTTATTTCAGGGAAAGAATAGTCTCGCAAATAAATGAACAAATAAAAAATAAAAACACAGCCTTTTATTCTGGAGAAGCTGTCATCATAAAACGGACTTTAAAGGTTCCACTGACCGAAGAAGGTAACTAATGAAAAGACCACATTTTTAAAAAACAAATAAAATAGTAAAAAGCCCATTTTAGAAAATAGCTATATTCTGAATTATGCCCATAAAGCGAGCAGCCAAGAGCCTGAGAGCTTTTCCCCACGACGTGAAGTCGGGGAGCGCACCGAGCCCCGCGCGGGACGCGGCTCCACGGCCCCCGCGAGGCTCCGAAGCAAGGAACCCCGGGCCGCTCTTGCCGGGAAGGGCGCACAGGGCGCCTCGCAGCGCGGGGCAGACGGGGCGTCCCACCCGCAACGGAGCCTTGATAGGGACTGCGCTGGGAAGAGGGGGAAAAACACCCTGAAACCATTATCCCTAATTCTCCGATTGGGAAAAAAAAAAGGAAAAAAAAAAAGAAAGAAAGAAAAGAGAGGGAAAAAAGAGGGAAAAAAGGAGGCAAAGAGCGGCGCTCTCGCGGCGCCCGGAGCGCCCGGGCCGGGGCAGGCC